TAAAAGAGGAGAAGTGCCTAAAGAGATAAAGGGAAGTCTCACTAAAGATTTGGCACTTAAGCTGGATAGACAGAATTTCAATAGAAGGGAGAAAAGAAAATGATGTGGGGTGTAGCCTATAAAGATAATCCCATTTCACAAAAGGAAATTGAAAATACCTGTAAGCAGCAAACTTTCCTTTATTTTAAATCTTCTCCATCTACTAGCTTTTATTGATTTGGCTTCCCCAAGATGACACAGCCTCCCTGGCCACCCTTTCTAGTACCAGAAGCACTTTCACTTCCTCTCCTCAGTTCTGCAGAAGAGTTGGAATACTCTGTTCCTCATTGCCAATTCCAGATTCTTCTCCCTTTCCTCACCACTCAGTAACCTCTCTTCCTTTGAGGTTCATGCTATGCATATCTACCAACTAATCAAAATCCAGGAGGCAGACAGGTGGTGCAGTGCATAGAGCACCAGCCCTGGAGTCAGGAGGACATGAGTTCAAATCTGAACTCGGACACTTGACACTTACTAGCTGTGTGACCCTGGGCAGGTCACTTAACCCCTCACCAAAAAACATAAAAATAATAATAATAAAAAAATCCAAGTAGCTGTTGTCTACAGACCCCAGGTGATTCGACTTCCTTCTTCAAAGTACTTGGGTTACAAATTTTCTCTCTTCCCCAATTCCTGCCCTCACATACATAATGATTCTTCCTCAAATATCCTAACCACTCGGTTCCTTATCCTACTTACCTCCCATGAACTACTCCTCCACTCCACCTCAGCCACACAAAAAGGTCAAAACTTTGAACTTGTCATCATCCACAAATGTACCACTTTCGTATTCAAGAATTCTGAAATCTCCTTATCTGACCATAATTTATTAGTTTTTCACATCTCCTTCTGCCTTCATTACTCTTCATCTACACTGTGACCTCCAATCTCTTGACTTCCCAATTCTTTCCAAGGTCTTCTTTCCTGTACTAGTCAGTCCTCTTGTCCCCATCTTGACTCCTTGGTGAAGCAATTCAAATCAACACTGCCCTCCTTTTATGACTCCCTAGTCACCTTATAATATCTTGGATTCAGCCTGGCCAAGCCTCAGCCTGGAATCACTTTTATTACTGGCTCCAACACATGTGCTACTGAGCAAAGGTGAAGAAAATCCCACAACCTTCCCACTGGGTCCACTAAAAATTTATTTAAATTGTAATCCTATATACCTCACTTATAAACTCACTAGCCCATTCTCCATAGTGGCTCTTGTAAATCTTTTCATCCTTCCTCAAACCTCCCATGGCTCTACTTCCCCCCACTTTCTCAGCTAAAAACCAAGCCTCTTATTTTACAGAAAAAAAAAATTGAGGCCATTCTCACCATTAACTCTATCTTCTTCATTTTCCATCATTCTGGTGCCTTCTGCTACCTTCTTCTCCTTCACCTCTGTTTCAGAGCTGGCCTTACTCCTTACCAAGGCTGTAACACCCTCTACTTATTCAAGGATCCCATTTGATTTTCTCTCCTCCAACAAACTGCCTCTTCTGTCATCCTCACTCTTTCACTTACTTATTTTCAGTATTTCCTTCTCTACTGGTTTATTTCCTACTGACTACAAACATACACATGTCTCCTCCTACCCTAAAAAAATCCTCACTTGATCATTAGATCACCTGATAACTACTCTTCTGACGTTTGTAGCCAGACTTCTTGAAAAGGCCACCTACAGTAGTAAGTACCACTCTCTTAACTCCTTGCAATCTGAATTTTGACTTTCATTCCACTAGAACTGCTATCGCCAAAGTTACTAATGATCTTGTAGCTGCTAAATCCAATGGCCTTTTCTAAATTCTCATTCTTCTTTCCCATAGCCAATTCAAAAATTTTCTAACACATATGACTAAGTTTGAAGTCTTGGCAAGTTTTGCAACTTAAACAATTGATAATAAAAACTATTATTTTTAAGATGTGTAATGTTATTTTTTTTGTACTGCCATCATTTTGAATCCTAAGTAATGTGTAACTACATGGACTGAGAGACTAGTTTTTAAAAGCTATAACAAAAGTAATTTAAATTTCATTTTTGAGACAAAATAAACGCTTCAAAATAGAATTATTTTTATGCAATGGTTTCAAACTTTTTTTTTTCCAGTGGCATGGATTTTATTACTATGACAAGGACTTGAAGGGATGAGAGCAAGGTAAACATTCCCTAACTGATGATGTTGATGACAACTGGCACTGGTGGAGAGCTTGTGGAGAATAAGGCTTTAAAGTTTATTTTTATTAAAAAAATGACGTTTCCACTACTTAAATCAAGGACAATAATCACAGCCCTTAGGAAAGCCTGACTTTCTATAATACAGTATTGAGGTCTTAATGACACAAAATTTACAGTCATGCTTACATTAAAATTTTATGAAGAATTATTACACAGAGACTGTTGGTTAGCCAAAAACTAAAGGCTTTGGACCATCCATCCCATTTTATCCTGCAACACAATAGGAAAAATCCAGAACTTAAATAAGGTCAACATCAATGTAACTAATAGTGTCTTATTTTTATGGAATAGGAAAATCCCTAATATTTGTGCTATAATAGTAAAGCTGATATTTTCTAGTCTTGTTTCAAACATGTTTTTTAAACACTTTACTTAAATCTTAATCACCCCCATTCTGTTCTTATGTTTTGAATGCTTATATAAGAAAAACACAATTTTTAAAAATTCGGGTTGTTTTTTTTTTTTCAATACTGAAATAAACCTAGATAGATGCCAGTAGTTTTGTATACACCATATTTAATATCTTAGCCCAACTCTTTTTCAGTTTATTTTTAAAATAGAAACTAGAACCCTGGCCAAATTATAGATGAACACTCTCAGAGTTGGAAGGTACCTCAGAGGTAATCTAGTCCTATCTATTCCTAAATATTCTATTCTTCATAATCAACAAGTGGTCTCCTAGCCATTTTGAAAAACAATAAACAAAAAAACCTTCACTAAGTATTTCCAGAAGCAATCTCTCCCTACTTCTGGAATTGTTAGAGAATTTTTCCTCATCTTGAATTATAATTTATCTCAATACAACTTTTAGTGATTACCCCTGGATCTGTGCTATTACTATGGGGCTAAAAGACTGTATGCAATTGCTTTTCCAAATGACCCTGGCTTCAGATATTTGAAAAAACCCCATTCCCTCGAAATTAACATATTTGAATTAGCTCATAGGACCACAAATTTGGAGAAGGAAGGGGCTTCAGAAGTTTTCTCAACCCTATATTTTACAAGTAGAAAACAGGTCCAGAAATGACTTGCCAAAAATCAAGACAAGTATAAGTACCTGAACTGGGACTAGAACCCAGGTTTTCTAACTCTAAACCTATCACTCTTTCCACTCCATCATGTTTGATTTCTAGGGTCCCTTCTAAGCTGTAAATCCTGTGTAATTTTCAAGTCCTAATACTGGGTGAGATATTAATTTTAGGATTTAAAATCACTTATCCAGATCATTATCACCTTTTTTGGTTCACTGAAAAAACCTAAACAAACTGGTTGAGTCCTCACTTAATGGAGTTTATTTCTTATTTTAATGACATTTATTAACTCCTTTGTTTCTAAAATGAAAAGGTTGTGAATTGCACTTGATTTCCCCCTCCTCAATCTCTCAAGCTTCTAGTTTGTTCCTTCCTATGCATTTTTCTCATTCCAACAGATATAACATTTCTGTAGACGCCTATCCCCCCATTAGATATAAGTTCCTAGAGAACAAGACCTTAACTGTCCCATCCACAGTGCCTTGCACATTCTTGCTGCTTGATAAATGTTAGTGGCTTGTTCTGCACAATTTTCAATTTGGTACTCTTAGCACATAGTGCTAATTGAGAGACTTTCAACTTTGATAGTACAGGAAAATTTTCATCCCTTGTATTCCTCAAACTACCAACATACTATTTCAAGAGAAATTCTGATCTAGGATGGGGGATTTGTTGCTACAGATTTTGAGGGAGGAAAACAGGCTCATGCTAGCCACAAGAAACAGGCAGTGGGCCATAACCTTTCCCTCTCTTCACTGGGGAATTCTCAACTTAGGAACAAGATTCCCAGAGTTGGTCACCTAATGATTTCAAAACTGAATACTATGGGGATGCTATCTCAAATCCCCAATTAGCTAAAGTCATATATAACTGCAATAACACAGAGATATTTCTCAGAAGGGGAAAGGCAGTAACAACTCAAAACTGAGTTTCAGAAAGGGGTAGGAAGACTAGGTGTGCCTTAGGGAGGTGAAAGGTTGCTACAGAAGTGAGCATGGGAGGGAGGGAACTAAGAGAGAGCAAAGAGAAAAGGAGGGAGGAAGCAGGAAGATTTCAGTTGAAGATAAGGAATAGCTCTCTTAACAATTCCAAAAGTTGAAGATATTTAGTTGCCTATCACTAACGTTTTTCAAACTGGAATGAAAGAAGAGAAGACAAGAGGAAGGAAAGAAAAGAAGGAAAAACAAAAGACGGGTAAGAAGGAATGGAAGAAAGGAGGAAGGGAAAAGAATTAAAGTAAAGGAATGGGAAAAAGGAGGAAAGGGTATCAAGGGAGGAGGAAGGGAAAGGATTAGAAATTAAAGAAATGAGGGAAGAATTAAAGGAAAGGAAGAAAGTGAAAGAACGTCAAGAAAGAAGGGAGAAGAGGAAAGAATAAAAGGAGGGAGGAAAGGATAGAAAGATTAAAGGAAAGAAAAGAGGAAATGAGAGAAAGAAGTAGGAAGGATAGGAGCAAAGGCTAGGAAAGATGAGAGAAAGGAGGAAAGGATGACAGTTCCGGAGATCAAGGAAGAAGTCCGAGCTGGCAAGGGCGCGGGGTTTGCGGGGTTCGGCCCAGGCTCCCCCAGCCGCCTTGGTGGGGGGGAGGGCTAGGACCTCGGGAGCAGCTAGGCGATTGGGCAGCAGCTCGGCACAACATGCTGACTACAAAGCGCCGGAGGTCACTGCGCCCCAACCTTGGGCAGCTCAAAGTCTCCACTACTCACCCGTTTGGAGGTAGAGAGAAATCGCCTACGCCAGCAGAAGAGCTACGGAGCGCGGGAGGCAGCAGCCCCAGCGAGAAGCCCTTCGCGCGGGACTAAGCCTCCGCCCCGCCCCCACTGCCTTCCAGGGCACGCGCACGACCAGGCCCTGGCCCCACCTCCCACCTAGACCCCGCCTCCTCGTGGGAGTCCGCGGGAACGCGCTCTGCTGGATCAGCGTCCGTGCAAGGAGCGTAAGTGTGGTTGGCAGGGTGGTGGCGCGGTGAAATTGTGTGTTTGTGTGTATAGGCCCGTGGGGAGGTGGGGAGGAGGGAAGGCAGAGCTGGGTTAATGATGCGAGTTCCCTCCGCGAGCCGTGCCCGCCGGGCTTGAGTCCCGCGCGAGCCCGCGCAGGGTGAACGGCTGCCGGGTTACGGTTGGGCCGGCTCCAGGCTCCGGGCTCCGGGCTCTGGTGGGAACTGGCCTCCGCCTCCGCGGGTTCAGTACCCGCCGCTGCCTCCCGAAGAGCCCGAGCTCCTGTGGGTGCCTGCACGCAGTCCTTCCCACAGCAGGACCCCGCCTGAACAACTTCTTTCGTGTTTCTCATCACATTGTTGCTATTTGTAGAACACACATGCATATTTTGACCTTAGAAACAAAGTTAATAGAAAGCCAAAAAAGCTGTTGACTGTGTTTTACTTTTCTTTTGAAGTAGGTTGCAGCAGAACCAGCAGAAGCAGCCCCGTGGGCCTTCCATCTCCCAGTGCCCCCGAGAAGATGTCTCTTTCCCAAAAGCTCACCTTGGACAAGGTAGATGTGAATGGAAAGCGGGTTGTGATGAGGGTGGACTTCAATGTGCCCATGAAGAACAACCAGATCACCAACAACCAGAGGATCAAGGCCGCCATCCCTAGCATCAAATACTGCTTGGACCATGGCTGCAAGTCGGTTGTGCTCTTGAGCCACTTGGGCCGTCCCGATGGCATTCCCATGCCAGACAAATTTTCTTTGGAGCCTGTGGCGACCGAGCTCAAATCCTTACTTGGCAAAAATGTTGAGTTCCTGAAGGACTGTGTGGGACCTGATGTGGAGATAGCCTGTGCTAACCCTGCGCCTGGTTCATTGTTCCTACTGGAGAATCTCCGCTTCCATGTGGAAGAGGAAGGGAAAGGCAAAGATGCATCTGGGGCAAAGATCACTGCAGATCCAGCCAAAGTAGAAGCTTTCCGGGCTTCCCTTTCCAAGCTGGGGGATGTCTATGTCAATGATGCTTTTGGTACAGCTCACCGGGCCCACAGCTCCATGGTTGGAGTCAACCTTCCCCAGAGAGCATGTGGTTTCCTAATGAAGAAGGAGCTAGAGTATTTTGCTAAAGCCCTGGAGAATCCAGTGCGACCTTTCTTGGCCATCTTGGGTGGAGCTAAAGTTGCAGACAAGATTCAGCTGATCAACAACATGCTAGATAAAGTCTGTGAAATGATAATTGGTGGTGGGATGGCTTTCACCTTCCTTAAGGTTGCCTCCAACATGGAGATTGGCAATTCTCTATTTGATGAAGAGGGATCCAAGATTGTTAAAGACCTGATGGCTAAGGCTGAGAAGAAGGGTGTGAAGATAACCCTACCTGTTGACTTTGTCACTGCAGATAAATTTGATGAGCATGCGAATGCTGGTGAAGCCACCGTGCAGTCTGGCATACCTGCTGGGTGGATGGGTTTGGACTGTGGTCCTGAAAGCAGCAAGAAATTTGCTGAAGTTGTGGCCCGGGCCAAGCTAATTGTGTGGAATGGTCCTGTTGGAGTATTTGAGTGGGAAACCTTTGCACAGGGAACAAAAAAGCTAATGGACAGTGTGGTAGAGGCCACCACTAAGGGCTGCATCACAATCATTGGTGGTGGGGATACTGCCACTTGCTGTGCCAAATGGAACACTGAAGATAAGGTCAGCCATGTGAGCACTGGAGGTGGTGCCAGTCTAGAGCTTCTGGAAGGCAAAGTCCTCCCTGGGGTGGCTGCCCTGAGCAATATCTAATGCATGCAGTTTTCTACCTATTGGTTCCCAAAAAAAGTCCTTAAGACTGTGGGACTCTACTTTAACTTCTTCAGTGTTTCTAAACACATCTTTGTGGTTTGTAGAATGTGTGTGTGTATTTTGACCTTACAAAGTTAAAAGAAAGTAAAAACAAATGTTGACCGTGTTCTGTTACTCTTTTGAAATATGTTGTGCCATTCAGCTTTGTTAGTATATTAGTGACTCTTTTTGTCACTGCAGTATGAAAACAAAATAAAACATTGTTTTTCCCCCCACTGTTGTGATTTGTAGAATATGTATGTGTTATATATTTTATCTTTATAACTGAAAAAGTTAAAAGTGCTATTACTCATATTCTCTTTCAAAGCTGTACAGTTCAGCATTGTTAGTATTGTAGCAGCTATTTTTATCATTACCCATGGTATAGAAACAAGACTTGACCTCTTAGAATCCAGATCAGCCACAGCTGAGCTTCAGCTCCTCTGGGCTTAGAACCGATCTGCTGTGTATTTGGTTCTGCAGCTGTGTGTTTGGTTCTGCAGCACTGCAGTGTTAACTTCTTTTCCAGCTCCTGCTTGAGGTCTCCCTTTATTCCCTTTATGCTCCTTATTTTGCAGGGACATTGAGGGACTCCCCTAATGAACTTAAAATCAGCTTTATCTCTAAATTTTGGGTTCTTTAGAAGGATACAAGTGATGTAGGTATGTCATCTGCTCTTTTCCATGTCAATTTAAAATTTGATGTTAGAGGGACTGAGGTGATGACCTCGACCAAGGGTGGCCGATTCCACAGAGATGGAACAATAGGACTTTTTGCTGTTAGGTTTCTTCATTTTGCAGCCAAGTGCACAGTTTTCCCCCCCCCATAAAATAAGCCAATAAACAAAATAACACAAAATTCATTTATAAGAAAACATCGAGTTTTTTTTTATCCTGTGTAATTAATTATGTATTAACATGATTATTTTTAAGTTTTGGTGGTTAAAATAAACCTGATTCGAAATGAGGAAAAAAAATTTTGTCTATTACCTGTATATGTGTGCTATATACAAAATTTTCCTTGTAATAGCTACCTTCCAATATTGACAAATGTACCAATATCATCAGATTTTTAACATTGATGAAGATATTTTGTTTGATCACTTGAAAATGTACGATATTGCTTAAGGCTTCTTTTAAAATGAATCATCAACAAAAATAATAATTATAAATAAAATATTAATATTTATTCTCTTTATTAAGTTACATGTATTATATACTCCAACATACTTGTTTTTACTATATATATTTGGCATTAATAAAGAGCTCCAGGCTTTAGCAGGTACTCATATAATCTCATGTGATACAAGCTGATGAGATAGGCTATTTTATCCCCTTGCCCAAGTCAACACACCTAATAAATGTCCAAGGTAGAATTTAAAACTATTGTTTGTTTTTTTCTGACTGCTAATGAATTGCCATCTACTGTATTGCCTCCATAGATCACATCTCACTGACAAAGGTATCCAGCAGTACAGGACTGTAATCCAATCATGCTATCCATCCTATCTCTGGCTTTCCCATAAATCTACCACCAGGTGTCACCCTATATATGGAGGGGGCGGGGGGGGGGAGAAGGCGGGCGTAGAGTGGTAGGACTAGTGGATCATGAAGGATGCCCATCAGTTAATCCTTACTCTTCCTATGAAATCGCCCAATTTTTTTTGTTATACATTTTTGGTTGCATTCTTTTATCCTGCTATTTCTGTGTAATTTTTCATTTACAGTATATTGGAACCTCACTATCTTTGCTCCTTTCCATTGCGCTTCCGGAAAATCTTAATTTCATTTATTTGGAGATTGAAGTATTCCTTGATTTTCAGATATACAGCAATACCAGAAGAATATTAACATTAAAGAAATATAGGCCTTTGCTTCAGATAGAAGCTAGGGATGATTGAAAGAACTGTAGTACTTTCTAAAGGCAATCTAGCCAAATCCATCTAATTTTATAATAATGTATCTTAGGGAATGGGAATTGAATTTCAATGGCATTTCATAAATACCTTCTAATAACTGAATTATCTAAAGATTTCTATTTGAAGAAATTACTGTGATGTGTTTAGCAAAGGATCTATAGTAATAATGGCTCATCTAGTTTATACAAAACTGGCATAGTGAGTATCAAGCCAACCTTGCAGTTAGGCAAACCTGCATTCAAATCTTGCCTCTGATGTATAGTACCTATGTAATCATGAGCAAGTCACTTAACCTCTCGTATACCGGTCATCTCAGGCTGTAAATCATAGAACAGGTGCCAAGATACATTAGGAAAGAGAGCTTCCCATTACAATGAAATGGAACCAGTCTAGAAATAGTTAAGAGATTTACCTAGATTATAATTCATTAAATTTATTCAATGCTTTTACCCCCAAAGTGATTGTCAACTATATTGCTTGCTTTCATACTAACCCTGCGAGGTAAGAAAGGATTATTTTCTCTTTAAATCCCAGCTCTGACATTAGGTATAAGACCACAAGTCCTTTAATTTTATTTGCACTATGCGACTGCCTAGAGTTAATTTTCAAAGCCATAGGATGGAAGATTTTTGAGCTGAAAGGGATTCCATAGGTCATCTGTCATTTTGTAGAGAAGTTAACAAAGACCCAGACAAATTAAGTTAATTGCCAAGGTCACAAGGGTAGCAAGTAACAGAGCTGGAATTTGGACTCAGGTCATCTGACTCTAAATCCAGTGCTCTTTCTACTATGCTACACTGTCTCCCTATGTGAATCCCCACATAGAGAGCTAAGTGGCAAGGCAAGAAGGCCTGCATCCACAGGGTACTTTCATCTCTTCATTCTCTTTTTTTCCTTCCCTTGGCTGCTTGACTACTCACATGGCTTGGACGAGATAGAAGACACAAATTCTTATTTTTTCAATTAAAATGGAGGCCCACTGGACCTCACCATCTGCCATACTGCTGCCTCCAACTGTCTAGGCCATAACATCTACTATGTCTCATATCTTTCATGGCCAACTCATTGTCACATCTGACCTACTTGAAGCATGCATGGGTCTTGCCAATAGTTCCTTTCTTGAGCAATTAGGACTTCTGCGTTTTTTCCATCTGCCCTGCAGCTGAATTTACTTTTATATATTGTCTTCCCCAATTACAGTATAAGCTCCTTTGGAGTTTAGCTTTTTCTAGTTGTATCTTCAGGGTTTAGCAAGTGATTGTCACATAGTAAGCATTTAATAAATGTTTTCATTCATAGGTTATCAATCTGTGATAATTGAAAGAGAAGTCTCATACGAGGAGAATTTTCACTTTTAGAGATCATTATGCTGAAGAAATCATAAATCCTTCAAGTATTTATAAAATAAGATAACAGAACTATAGAATATCAGAACTAGAAGGAACTTAATTAGCATTGCTTTTCAATAGATGATATACAAGAATAATGTCCCCACTTAATTTATAAACTGGAATTAATACTAAGTTTTGAGATGGTCTGTACTTCGTATACAAAACATTTCTTATATGAGGATACCTCACCTAACATCATAAATCAATTCTATGAGACCTTGATTTTAAGGAATGCTCTTGGTCAACTATTACAACAATACTATAAATGGAAGATAAGTTCCTAGATGACCAAAGCTGTAAGTATGAAACTTAAAATCAGAGATTCAGCACGATGACAGGGTGGAACAGGAACTGGTTGGGGATGGGGAGGGGTTGGATATCTGAGAAGACAAGTGGTATGGACTAGGCTCATCAAATTATCAGGCTTATCAATCTCCCCTGAGATTATAGCTGGTCACCAATGAAATTGGGATTGGGTTTGGGATAAGGCAAGAGCAGCAATAGTCGGCTTAAGGATAAGAATCAGAAGGAATGGGAATAGGGGTCATCTTCCCCCAGAAATCCTTTGATTTATAGATAACTTTCAAATGAGTTTGGACATTAATTTAAAAAAGGAATAGAATCAGTTGCCTAAGATATGAATTTTTGTCTTTAATCTACAACATTAATCATTATTCTCTGAATTGTTTATTTTGGACCAAGTACAAAGAATAATAACAAAGGAATGAAAAGAAAAACATTATACATAAAATGAATAATGTTATTGCCATTTCCTTTTAAGTGAACATTGCTATTATTGATGCCATTAAAAAGGTCAATAAGAAAAAAAAATAAGCTGAGTTTCAACTAAGGATACAATATATTAGTACTTTGATGGAGCTATGATTTCATCAATTCCAGTTTATGTTGTTCTCAGTAAATTTTATACCCCAAATATACTCTGCAATTCAGTGACACTGGCCTCCATGCTATTCCTTGAACAAGACATTCCATCTCATGACTCTAGGCATTTTCACTGGCGACAGTGAAATTCCATTCCTGGAATGCTCTCCCCCTTATCTCCACCCCCTGGCTTCCATGGTTTCCTTCAATTCCCAGCTAAAATCTTTCCTTCTACAGGAACTTTCCTATCCTCCCTTAATGCTAGTGTCTTCCCTTTATCACTTATTTCCAATTTATCTTGTATATAACTTGCTTTTATGTGGATTTTTGCATATTGCTCTCTCATTAGACTGTGAGCTTCTTGAAAATAGGGATTGTCTTTTGTCTTTCTTTGTATCCCCAGCCCTTAGCACAGTGTTCGGTACATAGTAGGTTCTTAATACTTATTTACTGACAAACTCATTCCCTTGAGCACCAGTCCTTATAACTGGATTCTTTCTCACCACTTCTAGAGCTAACCCACTTAATGATAGTTGCTTGCCTGTATAGATTTTCTTCTCATTACCTACAGCCAGAATCCTCAACATTCTACTCCACTTACCAGCTAACATGTGTATATTGCTGACCCTCTCATAATAATAGTCTTCTTGATCTATTTGGGTCGTCTTCCTATCTCTTTCTTCTTGGACCTCCCTTAATTCTTTGCCTTTTCTCTGTGAGTTTGTCTAGTATCTAGATGTTGAGTCTACTATAGAATAGACTCTGATTATCCTTTTCATAAAATGATGATTCCTGAAAGTACATTCCAAGTCTAATTCCTATGAACTAATTGTAGGGAAGAATTGTAGTACAATTGTATAAGTGTTGACTGGAATCAGAGGACCTGAGTTTAAATTTGACCTAGGCTAATGATCTATGAGAGTTTGAACAAACCCTTTAACCTCCCTAGATTTCAGTCTTCCCTTTTGTAAAATGAAGAAGCTAAATTATGTGGCTTTTGAGAGTCATTATAGGTCTTGATCTATGATCCTTTGTAGTACTGAAACTTAAAGGTTTGTGGCTAGACTATGTGGCTTGCTGTGTGACCACAGGAAAGTTATTTCTCCATAAAATTTGATGTTCTCAGTAGGTCATCAATTTTTCTAACTTTAAAATTAAGGAATTTGACTAAACAATCTCCAAGGAATCTTCCAACATGTTTGTTCTATAAGCATATAATTCTAGTTAGGAGGAGAATCAGGATGAAAGGGGGAAAATCGAGTTTATCAGGGTCAGGGGATTTTTTAGGAGAGATGAGAATTGAGAACTTTCTAGTTTGAGGAAAAAGAGGTAGGGAAGAGGGAAAAATTGAAGAAGCAAGGGTAATTTATAGAATAAGGTCCTGGCATTAGGCATGAAGAAATTGTATCAAGAGTAAAAGTAGAAGAATTAAGAGAAAATGTGAGTTGGAGAGCAGAACCTTGATCTTTTCCATAAAATAATCAAGGTTATCTGCTGTGAGGGAGGAAGGTAGAGATTAGGGACTAAAGTGTATAGCAGATGTAAGAGTAAGTGAACAACAAATAATGCCAAGATTTGCTAAGTGGCCATAATATCCTAGGAAATATTAAATAGTATATAGTTGTAATGGACCCAGTAAAAGCTTTGTGGCTTTTCCCAGCAATGCTTAACATCTGAAGAATAGGAGTAGAAAAAACAAAACAAGTCTGACCTATTGTTCAGAAATGATATGGAAGAACACCAAGAGGGAAGGAATTCAAGGGCTTTCATTTTTAGTAAGCTTGAATGGGAGGACATTAATTGACAATTTAAGTTGATGGAGAACATAAATGTTACATGTAAAGACTGCTAGAAATTGTCCACAGTGAGTATTCACTTTACCATTTGCATTTTAATTAGTTTATAGATCTTAGCTTGCTCTTAAAAGCCCAGGTAATAATAGGCAGATATCCAAAGCAAAGGTGAACTGGGTGACAGCTAACTCCTGGATAGAGACA